TGGGCGGCAGCGCCGCGGGCACCCCCCCGCCGGAGCGCGGCAGTGGTGCAGCCAAAACGCAGGCCCCGGCCGGAGAGGAAGCAGCGGCCTTTCCCACCACCGTGCCCCCCTCCCCGTGCTCGTCCCGATCATGGGTTGTGTTCTTATTCTTAGTTGTCTACAGCTCCAGGCAGACGTGCAGGGGGAAAAAACCCTTCCCTTTAGTAAATAGAAGCAAGGGTTGGGGAGCTCCCACCGTAAGAACAGCTCAGAATCACCACCAGAGTCTGGGACATAAAATGACAGATTTAAAACTAGATCCTCTCTGCAAAGATGCAAGTTGTACTAAAATTCATTTAAGGAAATTAGTATTTAAATATTTTTAGTGCTAATTAAAAATAGTCTGCCAGCTTTGACCACAGAGAGACAACTGGAGGAAAGGAATAGTTAGAAGTCATATTTTCCTACAAAGCAGCATGAGGACCTTAACCTATGTGTCCAATAAACAGATTTTCAGCTCTGTGCTACTGTGTTCTTACTTACCGCACTGCCAAGTCATGCACTTGGAAACGATATCAAAGATCTGAAGTCTTTTATAATTCTAAGCATACAACAGATTTTGACATACAGTTTAAGTAGCAGAGTTGCACAAGACATCTGTGCTCTGTTCTAACCCCCTCCAGACTTCCTCCTTGTGTGCCTGAGCCGCCTTTGGTCTCTCTGGCCCATGCAGGACGCCCCTAGTGGTGCCACAATGCCTTCGAGGTTGCTCTTAGCACACTATTAGCTTTGTAGAGGACCTCGCACCCCTCTCATTCCCTCAGAAGACTTCCCAAGTCCGTATCTGTAACCCAGCTCAGTCATTTTGTCCTCTCTTCCCTCCCGCCCGATTGGTGCGCCTCCATTCGGTCCCCTGAGGACATCTGTACTTTGTTCGATTCCCTTCTGAGCTCATTGCATCCCCGAGAGGTCTTTAGTCTCTCCAGACCCTTCGGGACCTTTCTAATCCCTGTGACGATGCCTCTTGTTCTGCCAGAACCTGTGCCAAAGCCCTCTTGGTGCTCCTGCACAGCAGCCTGGGTGTTTCCTGTATTATAATACATGTCTGTGTGGTAGCTGGTACCCCAAGGATGCTCAGATCTCCTCTTGAGTTTTTCGGAGAAGGCAATAGCCTTCATGTATTTTTATCAATCATCTCCTGTGGTGTTTTTTCTTGTATTTTGCAATTAATTTTTATTCTAGGTGTTAATTAGGCTGCTTCATATAGCTTCTGATAAATTTCTTGTATTTCAATGGCTTTTTCATGCTTTCTGTTCTCTGGGACTCATCTTGTTCTATTAAGGGAGTCAGTCAGAGAGACTGTTAAGGTGACTTAATCATCGCCGATTTACAGTACGTAATTTACTTTGCAACAGAGCTATTTTTGAGGAGGATTTCTTATGGGCTCTAATTCTTCTTTGTCATTCACTCCTACCCAGAAGGCAGTTCTGGTAGAAGTTAGGTAGCATGCATGGTCTCGCTATAAAAAGAAACACAACCCTATAGCATCTGTTTTTTTTTTTTTAATAGGCAACTAAAGCACATAATTCTTGATAATAACATCATTAGTGCATTTAATGAGCTACTTTCCTACATAGATCGGTAGAACATCTTTTTTTATTTCTATGCCCCAGCTTTACTGCATATTATGTAAGTTCCCTGTCTCTCTTCATTTTCGGTTTCTGTCCTGCAACCCATTACTATTTTTGGTTTTCTCCATGTATTTGTCTGTCTTGCTACCCAATGTTTTAAATTTCTTCTCGTCTCTCCTTTAGCCCTCCACAATTTACATTCCCCCACTCCTCTCTGTTGAGCATGGGGGCCCTGAGCAGGCTCGCTCCCAGGACTCATTACGCGTGTGACTGAATGAACACTCGCCGTCTCCTGTGCCCTCCCGGCGGTGTTTGCGCTCCCTTTGCAGCGGGCAAGGGGCCGTGACAGAGCCACGGAGAGGAGGTGGTGGCCCGGGGGGGTGAGACGATGGCCCCCTGGTGCTGCCGGGCTCCCGGCGT